CGCCTAGGTGGGAAAGAGATGAGGAGATGGGACAGCGAAGGAGGAGCACAAACTTGTATGTGACGCGCGCGAGAACAGCCACGCCATCTTGCTGTATGCTGTGCTGGCAATATGTTGGCAATGTGCGTATATGTGCCAACGCGCAACGAAGGTCAACGCCGCCGAACCCGCCCGCCGCCCCTGCCTTTTGTTGGCCGTGGCACCCGATGCACTTGTTCGCCGTTCACCTCAGCGAGCAATCGGAAGCCTGGTCGTAGGTATGCGCGCTCTGCCTGGCCAGAACTGAAAATGCTCACCTGGCTATAGTTTTGCTCGCCGCAGAGGAGCGGCACCACTCTGGGATTCTCCGAGATTATGATGTCGATCGTGACCTTCGCCCAATCGAGCGACCGCAACGCCGCCACTTCGTGGCCCTCTATATCGAGAGAGAGGAAGTCGACATGATCAATCTGTTGAGAGGCGAGCGCATCCGTGAACGAGGTGCAGCCCGCAATCTTGACGACAGATGCACGATGCGCGCGGTCACTGGGCATTGGCGAGCCCAGGTGCGAGTGCCCACCAATCTTGTCGCCAGCGTCGTGTCGTGTGACGAGTTGCAGTGCGGCGTCCCCTTCCCTTGCGCACGTGGAGACGGCCCGCGCCTCGAGGGCGCACGTGCGCTCGCTACGCAGCCGCGCATGGTGCGCCGGATTGGGCTCGACACACACGCCTCTCCAGCCCAGGCACGTGTCAAAGAAAAAGGTGTTGGAGATGACCATGGCGTCGTTTGCCGCAAGGTCGACGTAGGTGCCTTGGCGCTTCATGAAACGAGCATGATTCATGTAGATCCACCAGTCCTGGCCGAGCTGCGAGAGGAAATGCGGCACCGCACACCCACTCTCGTCCGTGTGGAAGCCCATGCCTGCAATCGCTTCAAACCGTGGGCTGCGCATGTACGCCTCCTGCTGATAGCGAGGGTTGGAGTTTGGCGGGCTCATGAGCATGAGCGTGGCGGCCGACGCTGACCGCAGGATTTCGCACCAGCGGCGGCCGGCAGCTGACTTCATGGCGGTCGTTTCAATCGTGTGCGCAGGCATGGAGCAATTTGGCATTGCCATGAAGTCAGCTGAGCCCCCGCCGAGCGCGCCCGCGCCGTGCGAACCTGTGCCGTGCGGGGGCGCATGGCGCGCTTCCGTGCCGTTCGCAGACTTGAGCGCCTCAATCTCAGCTTGCATCGCCGACATCCTGGCATCGTTCCTGGCAGCTGTTGCCGCCATCTCCTGGCGCATCTCTCGTAGAAGCGCAACCTCTGTCGACGAACTTGGTTCGCCCGCCAGCGCCTTGACGGCCGCAGGAAGGAGACCCACAAGAAACCAGAGCCGCGCTCGCTGCATCGTTTCTGGGTCTAGAAATCAAATGGTTGGTGTCTCACGGTCAACTTGGCGTCGCGAGGACAAGGTCAACTTGGCGTCGCAAGGTTGGATGAAATCACGCGCGTTTCTTTTTCTTTGGGAAGGGGACTTTCAAAATAGATTTATTTTTCTTTTTTTTGAGCAGGTTGGGGGGTGCCCTGCCCGCCTGGCTGATAAGATCTTTTCACCTTGACTTGGTGGAGTACAGGCGCGAGGGGCGTGTGGCTGAGACTCGGCTCGTGAGCCCCGCGTAGACTCTCGCCTGCCAACCTCGAAGGGGCTGCCGTCCACCCGTCGCTGCTCAGGCCGGGGGAGGGGGGGAGACCTCCTGTTCCTCGCGGAACGGGAGTAGGCCCCTCCTTGCCCGGTTGGGAAGCAGGGCGGTGGTCGTGCCATCGTCGCTTCGAACACACACACACACGCCGCATTCGTCGCCGGCGCGCGACAGGCTCCCGTCGGCCGGACTGCCCTCGACGAGTGGGTGTCGCCAACCAAAGCGACACGCACTCGAGGGTAGTGCCGACGGGACGCGGCCCGAGGGCGACTCTCGCGAAGGCACGGCTGGCAACCGTGGCGCGGGGCTCGCGTTCGACAAGACCGGGATCGCTCTACCGGCAAACCTCTCGCTGACATGCGCGCCCCGTCGAGCTGACGGCGGGCGCGCTGAGGTCGCACGCCTCCCAAGTCATATGCCACGGCGTGCGATCTAGAATCAGCACACGCGCCTCTGCTTGCATACACTCATACATCGGATTGTCATCGCCTGTGAGTGCGAGATAGGGCTAGCGGCTGGCGGCTAGCCCCTGAGGAGAGTGACCAGAGACACCTCACATGACCCCACACACGGTCTAGTCCGGCCTCGCGGTCGGCGGAGATTGCTAGAGGACGAGCAAGCCTGCTCTAGCCTCACGCGTTCGCCCCTGTCGTCTGTTGTGTTGTTGTG